AAACTAAATAGAACTGGACTTGTGCCTAAAACACCCCCCACCCTCTAGCACCACTAAAACACCAAAAGTAACTAAATACAAGTGAAATTGTGCCTGAAACTAACAGTTTTTGCCAATGATCACCCACGTCACCACAACTGACTATTTCAGCAGAGCTTTCTGTACTAAACACTCATTTCTCTCGCGTAATCGTTTACCAGGCCCCAGTAAACGATTACAACAATGTTTTTCCAGGTGATCAACCCAAAACTTGTCCAAGTTGGTCACCTCCGTAAGCGTGGCTTGTTCCCCACTTCTTGGGGTCACCAAACATCACCCACCACCCTCTACCACCACTGAAACACCAAAAAGAACTAAATAGAACTGAAATTGTGCCTAAAACTAACAGTTTTTTCCAATGATCACCCAGGTCACCACAGCTTACTACTTCAGCAGAGTTTTCTGTACAAAACACTGATTTCTCTCGCGTAATCGTTTACCAGACCCCGTAAACGATTACAAAAGTGTTTTTCCAGGTGATTAACCCAAAACATGTCCAAGTTGGTCACCCAATAAGAATGGCTAGTTCCCCACTTCTTGGGGTCACCAAACATCACCCACCACCCTCTATCACCTCTGAAACACCAAAAGAAACTAAATAGAACTGAAATTGTGCTTAAAACAAACAATTTTTTTCAATGATGACCCAGGTCACCACAGCTGACTACTTCAGTTCAGCTTTCTATACAAAACACTCATTTCTCTACCGTAATCGTTTACCAGGCCCCCGTAAACGATTACCACAATGTTTTTCCAGGTGATCAACCCAAAACTTGTCCAAGTTGGTCACCTCAGTATGAATGGCTTGTTCTCCACTTCTTGGGGTCACCAAACATCACCCCCCACCCATTACCACCACTGAAACACCGAAAGGAATTAAATAAAATTGAAAATTTCCCTAAAACTAATTGTTTTTGGCAATGATCACCGAAGTCACCACAGCTGACTACTTCAGCAGAGCTTTCTGTACAAAACACTGATTTCTCTCGTGTAATCGTTCGTTAGGCCCCGTAAACGATTACAATAGTGTTTTTCCAGGTGATCAACCCAAAACTTGTCCAAGTTGGTCACCTTAGTAAGAATGGCTTGTTCGCCACTTCTTGGGGTCACCAAACATCACCTGCCACCCTCTAGCACCATTGAAACACCAAAAGTAACTAAATAGAACTGAAATTGTGCCTGAAACTAACAGTTTATGCAAATGATCACCCAGGTCACCACAAATGTCTTCTTCAGCAGAGCTTTCTGTACAAAACACTCAGTTATCTCGCATAATCTTTTACCAGGCCCCCTGAAACGATTACAAAAGTGTTTTTCCAGGTGATCAACCCAAAACCTATCCAAGTTGGTCACCTCCGTAAGCATGGCTTTTTCCCCACTTCTTGGGGTCACCAAACATCACCCACCACCCTCTACCACCTCTGAAACACCAAAAGGAACTAAATAGAACTGAAATTGTGCTTGAAACTAACAGTTTTTTCGAATGATCACCCAGGTCACCACAACTGACTACTTCAGTAGAGTTTTCTGTACAAAACACTTATTTGTCTCGCGTAATCGTTTAGTAGGCCCCGTAAACGATTACAAAAGTGTTTTTCTAGGGGATCAACCCAAAACATGTCCAAGTTGGTCACCTCTGTAAGAATGGCTAGTTCCCCACTTGTTGGGGTCACCAAACATCACCCACCAACCTCTATCACCTCTGAAAAACCAAAAGAAACTAAATAGAACTGAACTTGTGCCTGAAACTAACAGGTTTTTCTAATGATCACCCATGTCACCACAGCTGACTAATTCAGTTCAGTTTTTTGTACAAAAAACTCATTTCTCTCGCGTAATCGTTTACTAGGCGCCCGTAAACAATTACCACAATGTTTTTCCAGGTGATCAACCCAAAACTTGTCCAAGTTGGTCACCTCAGTAAGAATGGANATGTTTTTCCAGGTGATCAACCCAAAACTTGTCCAAGTTGGTCACCTCAGTAAGAATGGATTGTTCCCCACTTCTTGGGGTGACAAAACATCACTCCCCACCCTCTACCACCACTGAAACACCAAATGGAACTAAATAGAACTAAAATTATGCCTAAAACTAATAGGTTTTGGCAATGATCACCCAGGTCACCACCGCTGACTACTTCAGCAGAGCTTTCTTTACAAAACACTCATTTATCTCGCGTAATCGTTTACCAGGCCCCGTAAACGATTACAACAGTGTTTTTCTAGGTGATCAACCCATAACTTGTGCAAGTTGGTCACCTCACTAAGAGTGGTTTGTTCCCCACTTCTTGGGGTCACCAAACATCACCCCCACCCTCTACCACCACTGAAACACCAAAAGAAACTAAATAAAAGTGAAATTGTGCCTGAAGCTAACAGTTTTTGCCAATGATCACCCACGTCACCACAACTGATTACTTCAGTAGAGCTTTCTGTACAAAACACTGGTTTCTCTCGCGGAATCGTTTACCAGGCTTTCGTAAACGATTACCACAGTGTTTTTTCAGGACGAGGACTGAACAATTTCCCAACTTGGTGCCCTCACCAGCAGTGATTGTTTACCCACATCATGGGGTCACCAAACATCACTTCCCACAATCTATTCACACTTAAACACCACAATCAACTTAACAACACTGCAATTATGACACAAAGTAACACGTAAACGATTACAACAATGATTTTTTAACCAAAACTTCAGCCAACTTCAACATTTCAAAAACAAAGTTTCATTCATCCGTCACAATACGCCCAATTTATTCATTAACATTCCAAGCAAAGCCACAAATGATAATAAGAATGCAATTCAAAATAAAAATATGTAACGTAACCAAATATTCAAATTTTATATTATTCAACTAAATCGGATACATTACACTTTGTTTTGTTTATCTATTTACAATGATCATTTACTTTCCTTTAATCAACTCAATACACATATCACTCATTTTTAATTCTAAGAACTACAGTTCCAGTGTATGGAGTCCTAAGTGCTCTGCCCTTGTAACCCCTTCGTGATGCAATCCTCACATATGTCTTCAAAGGTTGTTGATTTGTGTTAATGTCACTAGGGGATACAAAACAAGTGTTCATGGATGGTTCTGTACGAGGCACACTTTCTCCACCATGATCTTTATTTTGTCGTCTTGCCTTCTCTTCAGCCAATTGTGCCTCCAAACCAGCAACCCTCCTCTTAAGTTCTTCAATTAGAAATTCTTGGTCCTCTAGGGCACGCATAAAAGTTTCTCTTCGTTTTCTTTTTTGTATCTTCTTTGCTGTTGGTTGGGCATCCTTTTTTGATGGTGTTGGTCTGTATTCCTTCTTATCCTTGGTTGAAGCACCAACTTAAACATCATCAAGAACATGAAATTTAACCATATATATCATACTATACAAGTTTTGTCAATATACCAAAACATCAAAAACTCAAACAACAAACCACATACCACTCCCGTCTCCATAACCCCTTTTACGAACTTGTCTCCCACATTTATATTGATCTAATGCAATATTCTCGGAAATTTGTCAATTGGACCTTTCGGTGGAATGAAATGCTCAAAAAACCATATCTAAAAAAAAAAATCATCTTAACATTTAATAAAATAGCAAATGCCCACAATAAACAAACAATTTACATTTTACATCAATAAATAATAATTACCTGCAACATGTAAACACAACCATCCATGTAAACATTCGTTGTACCTCTGCCTTTCTTCAAGGATTTTGAAGTTTTGCACAAACTATCTAACAAAAAACGATAAACTAGACTACCCCAACAGTAACTACCCAAACCACTTAAATTGTCAACAATATTAAACATTACGGGAAACACTTTTCCGCTACGTTTTGGAAATAAAATCTCACATATCCCTACCAGTATGTAAAGGCTACAAAAATGAGAACAAGGTATTACTTTCTTGTGTTTTCGCATTAATAATTTGTATATCAAATTNTTACGGGAAACACTTTTCCGCTACGTTTTGGAAATAAAATCTCACATATCCCTACCAGTATGTAAAGGCTACAAAAATGAGAACAAGGTATTACTTTCTTGTGTTTTCGCATTAATAATTTGTATATCAAATTCAAATCTTTTGCTCCTTTACTTATGAATTTCACACATTTACTACTTTCCATTTCCTCCACCATCTGTACTCAATCCCAATCCTAAATAAAAATCACTTTCATTTATATTCAAAACTTTATTTCCAACTAAAAAACCACTACTCGAATCGTCCCACTTAACCAATAACTCACTCAATATATTCCTACCTAGTTTAACATTAACACCCAAATCTAAAAACCACACAAATGGAGTATTCACAATCACTGACCGATGCTCGTCTGTCAAGCGTTCGTTCAAACTACATATATACTTTGTCGAAAATGAGTGACGAACAGTCAACTGCATCAACCAAAACAAAATAACCAAAACAACTAAACCCAATAACAAAAACAACACAATCCCAAACCCAAAACGCATCGAAGGAAATGGAAGGAGAAAGCATTTACCTTCGTCGTCGGACCATGCTCACCGGACGTTGCCATTTCGCACTATAACCTCCACGAAAAACACCAACTTGACGAAAATGGAGGGAGACACAGAGAACCAACACCAACAACGCAAAATGAAGACCCAGGGACACCAATCGTTGATTTCCAATGAAACAGGCCAGGGATATTTTTGGAAGCTCACTTAAAACAAACCCTACGTAGTTCGAACTCCACGTTTTCAAAAAATTAAAAATTTCAAATTCCTCCCATCCAAATGTGATGCGTGGCGTTGTCAAAACAGTGTTAAAAAAATGTTGTTAAAGTATCGGGGTCCAATATAATACATCCCGTGATGCACTAGTTTCATACTAGTTTCACAATTAAAACAAAATAAACTGCTTGAGAAATGCGTCAATGGAAAAAGGCTCATTAAGTATAAATAACAAGTAAAAGTAAAATAAGCACTTCCAACCCCAACATGTTCTATTTTATTCTTCTTGAAAATAACCACTTCTCATTCATGACTTGTTCTTGTAAAGGCAAAGCATTCTGAGCAAATAAACTCCCATTTTCTTTAAAATATTAATAACGGGAGAGATGAGGTTTCACCACTACAACATACAAAAAAAATTTGAATACAAGTTTCAACTTTCAAGCACCTTCTGCATCTCATTGTTCCTGTTAAGAGAATCTTGTTTCTGCAGCAAGATTTGCTTGCGGAATTTCCTGATGAAAAGGTCAGCCATGTGGTCAATTTCATCCTCCATCTTGAACTCTTGCCCTGCTTCTTCCTTTGAACTCTTCACCATTTCAATGACAGACCCTCCAATATCCGAATCCTCTGACTCAAACATTGTGTGTGTAAGATCCGGGTACTTGTTGCCATCATCATCATCTTCATCACCGTCATCATCATCGTTGTAACATTCACATTCACCATCATCATAATCATAATCATTCTTGTCCTCCACTACCACATGGGTCTCACCAGGAACAACATCGGAAACAACCTCACTTAAGTGTGCACTGTCATTGACCACCACGGTGCATTTGTTCTCAACGCTATCAACAACATCTTGAACTTCTTTAACACGTGAATGATGATGATGCCCCAGAAGAGATTGGAACTTATCAGAAATGGTGCTCATCACATACCTCTTGTTCATCACAAGCGAGAATATAACCAACCGAGCTTTCATGGCGTTCGTCCTGGACTTCAGAGCCAAAGCTTTTGACTTGGCCATTGCCCTCACTGCAGCTATCAACTTCAAAATCCCAGAAGCCCTTTTTTTCATCTGTAGTAATCACAAACAAAAATCCAGAAAAAAATATGGCAGTTTTCGAACTTGATTTACAAGGGTATTGGTGACAGTGACAAAACTTGTAGCAAGTTACAAGGAAAAGAAGCTCTACTGTGTTAGATACAGCGAAGAGGATATTATTTGATTGAACAATGTTTAAGGCAAAAGAAGTGCTTTGGACACGACCGAGTACAAAGGAAGGTACTTGTGTTTATAGTGGCAGGGGGTGGATCTGGGCAGCGACAACTGGATTTGTCTGAGTGAAACGAGGTAAAAGAAGAGTGGTGATTAAGAAATCAGAAGAAAAAGGGTGAAACGAGAAATTTCTCGTTGAAGGGAAAGTTGTTGGAAGAATAATAGAATATAACGTTGTGGGAGACGTGGCCTTGTGTGATACGTGTTTTTTTAAATGTTGGTTCTGTGTGTATGAAAAGATACAAAAATTTTGTGGGTGGTGTACCAAACAAAAGAACTTTGGTGGTAAAAGAGCCTAGAATGACTAGTGGGGTAGGTTCGTTGGAGAGTGGGAATTTTCTTTTGGTGTCTTTAAAGTTGGTTTTGTATTTGCTCTCAAATATCTTCTTTAATAGTTCTTCTTAAGGGAAAATAAGCAAATGTAAAAATATACGTATATAATTGTTCTTACCGGCCTGGAATCCGAGGTAAGTAAGACATGTGGCAAAATTTGAGTGTTTTTGTAAAGTGGATGGACATTAACGAAGGAAGATCTACTTTTAAAAAAATTTCTCATACTTAAAGTAAGAGTTTATAGATCAAAGAGAGTGATTAGTTTAAGTTTGTAATGTTTCACGGTTGACTTCCTTATATTGAATAAGATCAAATGTTAAAGTTAAACCCGACTATCTAAAGAGATGATAAATAAATATCATATGTCATAAATGATCTTTGCGGTCGAGCTTTAAAAGTGCATTAAACTCTTTCTTTGGGTTAGATATGTATATAAGGAATCCAATCTCAGAAGTTTGACCAACACTTTATCTTATCTCATTGGACGACAACTCTTCTTTAGTCGAGTTGCATCTAACTTATTCATACAAATGGAGAAACCTTTATTATGACTAATCGACCTTTTAGTTGGGCTTAAGCTAACTTATGAGCAGGTAGAATAGTCGTGCTTAATGAGTCTATATTCAAACTCAAAGATATTTGGGCAATCTTTTAGGTTTTGTCTTGTTGAACACTCTTCTTAGATGTTAATGCAACATTAATGAGAGGTTTTGAAAAATGATCGCCTTTAAGCGTATAGTGCACTTTTACATTAAATGCAAAACTTCTTTGTTGATATGTCACCATTTAGTTGGCTTAATGAAAAGAGACGAAGTGTCAAGGGTCATGACCTTTTGGAGGGAAACAACGTTTTAGAAACCATTCTTTTAAGCTTTGTAATCTTTCCTTTTTCAGTTTCAACTTCTCCTTCCTTCATAACAATCCTTTGGTGGGTTCAAATTTCATCCTCCCTCTATTCTCTCATGTTTTCCATCATCTCTTCTTCTATTTTCATATTATTTCTACATTTCATGGAGTGTTAAGCCTCTGGAGTTGATTTTACAGTAATTTCTTAACTGAATTCTGAGGTTAAATGAATAAATTTGTTTCTTCTTTTGATTCTTGTTGTGATTTATTTTTATCTATGTCTTTTGCTTCTTAATCAAGTAAAAGTAATTACTTTTACATTATAGCAATTTAGCATGATGTTAAAGCTACATAACATATCAATCATATGAGTCCAAGGGTTTTTATTTTTAATTGAGAATTTACTTTGATTAAAGTTAGAAACTTTCATGTGATTGAATGAATGTGTTTTTTTCCAATAATTGAGAATGTACTTTGATTAAAGATGAAAACAATTAATCAAGAATATACTTTGATTAATTAGTTTTTTACTTGATATAAGAGGTAAAAGAATAAACATGATTAAGCATAGTAATATTTAATTGAGAATGTACTTTGGTTAAATTAACTATGATTAATCTACAAAGTTATTGCTTTTAATTGAGAATGTACTTTGGTTAATAGTGAGAACGCCAACAAATTAATTAACAATTTACATTGATTAATTTGAAAATCTAAGACAATAATTAACTAAAAAATAATTTTTAGATAACCAATGATGAATCCTATTTTGAAAAGGCAATGAAATCAACTTATTTTCTTTATAATTATTTTTATCTTTTTAAATCTCTTTATAAATTTGTTTCTTTTTATCTTTTGTTATTTTTTTCTTTAATCTATTATTGATCTTTATCTTTTTTATTGTTGTTTTTTACTAACCCTTTTGTATAGTCATTTGTAGGTGAATCTTCCTCCATTAAGGTGGGCCTACTCATCAAAAGAACTCTTAGGATTTTTCCATGTGTCTTACAAACCTCAGATCTCAGATCTGATAAGAACATTTGGCATCTACCGTGAGGCCCTGATAAAGTAATCCCGGACCTCACTCGCCTATCACTACTAGCAAATTGGAACTTCTTAAACAACATGCAAAAATAATCTAAACTCCATGGGTACCATTAAAAATCAAATTCAACAACTATTGGACCAACACAAACAATTCAGGAAGCAACATTAATTTGATGTGAGAAACATGTGGCAACAATTAATTGTTAAGAACTCAGACAATATATGAGGAGCATAAACTCAGTGGGGGAGGTTTCGTCCAAGAAGCCTGCCTCTTATTTCATTCACTAATGAAATATTTTGCATTAATGATCCTAACCAAGATGATCCAATGGTCGTCACTGCCACTGTTGCTAAGTGGGTGAGTCTAAAAGGTATTGATTGACTAAGGCAGTTTGGGCGACGTCCTATTTTGGCATGTGTTTAAGAAATTGGACATTCCTTCTGAGATGATACAACACACTCTGAATCTTTACTAGATTTCGCCAAAGATAGAGTTCATACAAGAGGATATGTGGATTTATTTGACCACTTTTAGAGCACCAGAGGCCTACTAACCCATTACAATATGGTACTTATATATTAATATCTCTTACATTGTCCTCATAGGCAGTAGAACACTGAACTAGATCAGAGTAGTGGTTTCTACTCTAGATATAGCCATGAAATTTCTCTTTGAGGACCATTCTTGCATCATAATAGTCAAAGTCAACCCCCAAGATGCAAGAGAATGTTACAAACTAAAGGTGGTGTGTTGTTAATATAATGTTCTTCCTTAATCCATATTTTTGTTTCCTTTTATATCTTGTTTTTATTTTTTCTCGTCCTAAAGGATTACATCACTCTCAAATTAAGTCCTAATGGTATATCCACATTGAAATCTCAATGGTATATTACAGATTTACCTACATCTAATTAGTTATTAATTATATAATTAGGTTAGTGTTGACTTCCCGATTAAGGGTGTAAATCTATCGAACAAGTGAACTAGTTCGATTCTAGCACAATAAGGTCTTATCCATAAGAATTTGACTTGATAAAATAGTAATATATAATCAACTCAAGTTTTTAATAAAATAATGATAAAGGTTTGATAGTTTGAAAAAAAGTTTTCATAAAAAAGAAGATAAGTGATGTTGATTAAGATGCTAAGGTTGATCTTGGCTTCTCTCACTCAATTACACTACCCTTTATTCCTTATAAGTTATCTTATTTAATTTAGTGTTCCTAGAAATACTCTTTAAAGTAATTCTAACCCCATGTCTATAGTATTGTAACCTAAGGTTATTGAACCGTGTGTGATGTCTCACTCTTGGTTGGATGACTCTTTGCATTAATCAACAAGACTCTTTAAACCAATTAAAGTCGTAGATCCATGTTTAGTACCAAGCATTAAGAAATTTGATTGGATCTAAGCTTTAAACTAGTTTTCACTACATTTATGTTTTCAAATATTAAAACCCTTATGTAATCCCTTGAGCATTTAAAGAAACTTACCTTCACTTTTGAAACCTTAAGCCTTGTTGAATATGATTGACCATCTCACCTTGATGGGAGAGTAAAGTTTCCATGGTCAGTAGTGTGATTCAAGTGTGCGGGAAGTTATTATTAAAAGGGAAGCATGAGTAACAATTGTGTATTGGTGTTGGTTGATGTGATGCATTCTTGTATATATTGTCATCTATAAAAGAAAAAGAAAAAATAGAAAAAGAAAAAAAAGAAGAAAATATATGAATAAGGAGGTACAAGTTGGTGTTTGGTTGTTCTAGTTTTCATATAAAAGAGAGTAGAATGATAAGACTGTGAAATTAATGTGATTTCTCTCTTTACTCATTCATACTACCTAGATACACCAATTTCTTTCCTTGCCTTGTCCTAACATCAAATAAAGTCCTTATTGTGTTTTTGCATGCTTTGATAATTCTTTGATGTAGAAACGAAAAACAAAGTCATATTGTTTGCTATTAGAGGTAGATGAGAGAATGACACACCCTTATACACTAGTGTGCTTGAGTGAAACAATTTTCCTAGTGAAGATTGGTTTATTTGGTTGATCAATGGAAACATCTTTGCCATGATTGTTAATCTCTCATAAAGCATGTACATTTATTCTTGTAATATTTGCATTTGTGAGCACCATAACTAAGGATTTATAAGGTTACACATATTCTCTTTGGATTTGTGTTGAAAGAAGAGCATTCATGAATGTTATCTGATTTGATTGTGTGAACTTACATCTTAGTTATTTGACCCTTGTTGAATAGATGTTTTTCTTGGCCAAGTTACCTTTACTTGAGGACAAGCACGATTTTAAGTGCGGGGGAGTGATAACGTTGATTTTACGTGTTTTTATGTGTATATTTTAGTGAATAAATGAGTTATTTAAGCACTTTCTTGTGAGGTTTGGGCATTCTTCTCCTCCTACACTTCATTCTTTACCTAAAGCAATTGAGAGACATCCTTGGAGGTTTTTTGGGGGTGCTGGGAAGCTCTCACACTCCTCCTTGGGTCTACAAGCTTCATCAATGGTGATTTTGCCCCTTTTGGGTTGAGGAAGAAGATGAGTCATGAATTGGAGATGGAAA